TAGAAATTGCAGTTTGAGAAGTCCGAAATAGGAATTTCGATTTGGGATATCCCAAGTTTAACTTGGAACATGGTGACGTTTGGGCTACAACAGTGCTACTAAATCCCTTCTTAAAAGTGAATATCCAAACGAATCCATAGATAACATACTTATTAAATGTAAGAAATATGGATTATGTTATAGCTGCAAGCAAATATGCACTAGAGAAAGATTTTGTCAACCCTGTATTTCATCATATTTTAAACAAAATAAAGGTTGGACAAGTGCCTTATAAAAATTTATTCAATTTCAATTATCTTGCAAAAGGTGGTTTTAGCACATTATATAAAGCAGAATGGATTCAAGTTCTTCGCATAAATATGGACGATGTTGATTCATGTCATCCAAGTCATGGAGGATTTGGTCAGATATTTCATCATTTGTTTCATTCGTTGCCTAATATAGATACAGACAATTATTCAAAAAAGAAAAATGGTGATAGTGATAATTTCGATTATAAAAGAGCTAATAGATTTGGATCCATATATGCAGGAAGATATCTGGATTACTTGACAATTTTAAAAAATATGTTTGTTATATTAAAATATTTAGATAATTCAAATTTCACAGAAGTATTTTTACAAGAGGTAAAATAACACTTTTCAATATTTGATTATGGTTTATATACATATTTATAAAACTATTTTAATAGGTACATTATTATAATAAGCTATCACGAGCTAATTCTAATATTGTAAGATGTTATGGCATCAGCAAAGATCCAACAAACAACAATTTTATAATGGTTATGCAATATATTAATAATGGGAGCATTAGAAATTATTTAGATAATCATTTTAATAAATTGGTTTTGATTACAAAGTTAGATATATTGCACAATATAGCAGTCGGTTTAAAAATAATTCACCAAGATGGACTTATTCATAAAGACCTCCATCCCGGAAATATATTAAAGGACGACTTTTCAGATTGCTATATTGCTGATTTTGGATTATGTAAACCTGTTGATGAACAGTCTGTAAAGCAAGATGATCAAAAAATATATGGTGTTTTACCTTACGTTGCCCCAGAAGTATTGAGAGGCAAAGTTTATACTCAGGAATCGGATATTTATTCCTTTGGAATGGTAGCATATGAGATCGTTTCCGGATTACGTCCATATCATTTTTTACCTCACGAAGATTTTCTTGCTGTTAAAATTTGTGAAGGGGTTAGACCAAAGTTTGATGATATCAAAATACCACCATTTTTAGAAAATTTAATTGACCAATGTTTAAATGCAGATCCATTAAAAAGACCATGAGCGGAGGACTTAGAATTTCGTTTAAATCAATGTATTGATGATATTCGTCAAAGGAAAAATACAGATATATACGAACAATTTAAAAATTCGGTATCTGTACAGCCTTCGATTTCATCTCCATATGTAACGGATTCACAAGCAATATATACGAGCAGACCTTTGGACTTTAAAAATCTTCACGAACCACAAAATTCAATAAAAATAAATAACGAATTTTATGATTCTCTAGGTATGATTAGTTTTATATGTTTACCTTGCATAATCATTTTTTTATTAATTATATTTGTTATTTTAGAATCTTTACGAATTTGAGTTTCCAAGTTAAATGTTTAGCTTAGAATTTTCAAACTGAGAATCAACAGAATAAATTAAGGAGGTCATTAAAATTTTTTAAAATTTAAATTTAATGCGTTATTATTATTATTATTAACTTCTTTGAATAAAATCATTATTAAAATAACACGAGATTTTATTGTTACCTCCTATTTGCGTAAGAGAGGTAATTTAGATTAGATATAGTTTTATAGCTTAGTTGTTACAATGGTAATGTAACGAAAATAGCATGTATTGTATATCAATTTTAGCGAGATAAAATAATAAAGTCTTTATTGAATAAAATAAAGAAATAGTCTTTATATAAATTGACCATTACTGCCTCTGCCGGCTCTCTGTAATAGGCCCAAAGAGAAAAGAACTATATAAAAACCAAGTTGTTCAAATTCTATCGTTTAGCTAAGAGCGAAACAAAGCTTTTTTATATAAAAATTTCCTTACCATGGCTTTGTTACGGCATTCTCTTGAACTTGCGGTTTGGATGACGGAAATGCCAATTATTCGATCACTGATGTCAAAAGTGGTCATTTTGACATATATCTTTCATCTTGCCTGTCGCATATATTGATCGTCATAGCCAATTTTGACGCAGTCAAAACCCGTTATCCTTTTTCTTTTTGGCGCGAAAATTTCACCATGCGCGGATCAATAAAGATTCTGAATTGAAAACGCAAGATCGAAAATTTTTTCAAGAATACATGAAAATAGTACTTGCCATCAACCAACTTTAATAAATCAAAGAAATTTATTTTGTTGGAAATTACGTTTATATCCGAATGGTGTCTCAAACCGAATCCGTATATTTCCCAAAATCTTGAGTCGATTTAAACTCAACACGCACGAAATTATCTTGTCATTAAATGATTACAAGCTATATTTGAAAACAGTTTAATCGAACCTAAATTACGCCTAAATAATTTTATTAAAAAGTTACTATTCGTTGTTGGATTCTTTAGGAGATGAATTTCACAATTGGCGCAGCAATTCCTTCAAATATTTGACACTAGGATCAAGCACGAACAAAGCTAAATAGCTAATTTATACCTTTGCTATTATTATTTATAAGCAATTCTTTTTGACACTAATTCCTTAAATTTCTCCAACATTATCTATTAAGTATATCAAAGGTACTTTCAATCATCAACTTTCCACGAATAGATAGAATGTAGGGCAACACAGAAGGCCACATAATTAGTTTTTTGATTCCTTTCATTGGTGTGAGGCAAATTAAAAAAGTATGTTAAACTAACCGTCAAAATGACCATAGTTCTAGAGAATTCTTTGGATTCAAAGTTTCGTGACACGATAAAATGTGACTTGAATAAATAATCAACCATTCTGTCAGTTTAACATTTTAGACCCAACTGTCAGCTTAGGTCATTTCGTCCTTTTACCACATTCTCCACCGTCTTGTTAAATGAATGATATTTTAAAGAATTTCCGCGGTAGAATTTATATAAAACGACTTCGTTTCACTTTTGTTAAGAAATCTTCCCTTAAGGTTTATTACAGACGTAGATTGAGGCAGCAAATTCTCTATGAAAATATTATATAACAAATCAAAGTTCCATGAATTTTTTTATTATTTATTTTTACAACAAATAATTGTATAACTATTTCTGAAGATTAGAATAAAATAAAATTAAAATTATGAAAATGAAATCATACTGAATTGTTGCGGGTTACTAAATGTTCTTAAAAAACAAATCTTTTTATTGTAACCATAAAATTTATTTATTGACGCATTCATATAATTTTACTTTTTATAGAATAAAAGGATTTAATCTCCTTTTTCTTTAATTAGAAATATAACTTTTCGAGTAGTAAACAAATAGGCATAATAATATCAGATAATGTTCATAATAATATTTAAGAAAAATTCCTTTTCTTGATATCTTATTTTGACTAGGACATCCGCCGGATTCCAGGTTAAGTTGGGGAGTGGATAAAGCTCTAAAGGACATCATCACGTGATAACTCATGCTTCGAATTCAGTAAACAACGCTTGCAATTGATGCAATCTTTAAAATTCGTTTTTTTCTTTTTTTTTTTAAGACGCGGTGAAGCATTTATAAATTCGTTTTTTTCTTAACATTTTTTGAACAAAAATTTAAAATGATCTCCAGCTTTATTTAAATACGCTCTCGTTTAAACGCGATCTTTAGGATTAACGGTACTATATTAAGAGAATGAACGTGGATTCGTAAAATGAAGATAATTATTTGGTAAATTCAAATTTGGTAGAAAATAATACCACACATCAGATTATTAGACATATTTATCCTAAAGCAGCAACGAGTTTTAAAAGTAATTTACGCGTTAATGTTTTTTATTTACTTTAAATAAAGCACGCAATGAACATTAAAAAATGAAATGTTGAACAAATCAAATTAATTTGGATCTCGAATGCTTAACACGTTTCCATAATTAAATTATTAAGTATTAAATGAATTTCAAAATGATTGATTTTAATAATTATTTTTCATTCATGCCGTATTCTTTTTTTCTCTCTCACTTTAATCAAACAACTTGCTCCCTTCACTTAACCACCACTTAACCCCGAATTCTTTTTTGGTATAATCTAATTCGTTACTAAGTACATCAAATAGAACTTTTTGTAAAGCACTTAACCCAATACCACTACCAACACTATCCTTCCTTCCATTTGACCTTTCTTCCTTTAAAAATTCCTTAATCCTTGTTAATAAATTTTCCATGAAAATTAAATTAACCGATTTAACTTGATCTATCAAAGTTAAAAGCAAATGGCCTCTACTCAAATACAATGCTGCTTTAGTTAAATTCTCCTCTTCTTCTTTTTGCTGTGAATATAAAGGATCTTGTTGTTCTCGCTCCACGGCTTCATTTTGATTCTTTGATTGCTGCTTTTCTATAAAATCTTTATCTACCGAGCCTTCTGTATGATGAGAAAATTCCGGATGAGAATCTACGAATTTTAAGATTAGACAAAATAAAGATTTTTTAATGCAATAATCTTAAACAAACTATTTAACCAAATATATATAATGAATACCTTTATGTAGACTAATGCTTTCGATTTTTTTTATAAGTATTTCTAAACATAACCAAGCTAAAGCATCATCAACCTCCGATAGTGATTTTATGACAGTAGTATAAGCAACTCTAAGTTGTCTTACATCAATGTTGGATGGATAAGCCTAAAAAAAAAAAAAATTTTTTTTCATTTTTTTTTTTTTTTTTTATATATAAAAAAAAAAAATAGCAAATTTCTAACTTACAGTTAACAAATAATTACAATAATATGGACTTATTTCCTTTGCGATTTCTCTTTGATTAGAAAATATTGACAATATAACAGCATTTGCCGATTCAAATATGTACTTATCATCGTTCCTCAATAAAAGTCTACAAAGTCATAATATATATTAAAGACAATTAATTATTCTTGTTTTTCTAAAAAAAAAAAAAAAAAAAAAAAAAAATCTCATAATAAAGGATACCCGTTAAATATTGGTAATATTTGATTCTCCAAATAGTCATCATCTAATATTTTAACCAATTGTTCAATAATAAGTAAATAATATACAACTCTACATTTCTCATGAGGTTTATTAACATTAATATCCGATTCCACATCTTTCACGATAGAAATTACTTCATTTGAATTATTAATTTCTATTATCTGATTTAGTACACTAAAAAATACATTTTTATAAACTGAAAATCCATACATTGAAAATTTTGATGTTATAAAATATAGGTAAGAATATGTTGATAAAATCATCATTCTCTCTACAAAATGTTCCAAATTTTTTTCTTCAGTTTTATTTATATATGAAAATTTTGATGAATTAAATTAATATTTTTGTCTAACTTACCCCGATCTCCATAAATCTGCGGTTCGGATAATGATCTATTCATAACTGATTTAAATATCATTGTAATTGAAAATAAAATAAACTTGAATATTTGCCAAATATGCGTCATGCATTTTTTATTTTCAGATTCTACGTGAAATGATTTATGTTAAATCAGGAATCATAATAATTGTTCAGTATTCATATTATTTACCCAAGGAATCCTCGCTAGCCAAACTAAGTGCAGGAGACTCATCCCATAGCTTATATAAATTGATGGAGAATTCATTGATCCTATATAATAAATTATCAATTTTATTAATTATTATTTATTTTTTTAAAAAAAAAAATAATAACACGCTCTTGTACCTTGTAAGTGTTGAGGAAATATCATTTTTTTCAACGACTTGAGTCATTTTCGATATCGCCCATGAAATTTTAGATAATTCTTTGTAAAGCGTATCATTATTCTTTTCTTCAAGAACTTTACACGACTCCTTTTAAAAAAAATGTAAGTATTGGAAGTAATCTTTTTTTTTAAAAAAAAAAAAAAATATTAACTTACATTCCAATTATTATTTTGTTCAATGTCCCTTAGAAATTTTCCATTTTGAAATAAACGAGGATTTTCTAACACAATATTTATTAATAAAGTCATTAATCTTGCCTATTTTAAAAATTAAAATTAATTAAATCAATAATTTTGATAAAGAATCAGGATGATGTACCTCACCTTGGAATTTAATTCTTTTAATTGTACTTTTGGAACGAACGGAATACATTGCGCGCATATAAAGGTTAAAGTTTCTTGTTTTGCATCTGAATTAAGAGAAAGTACAATTAGTTTTATAAATTCAAACTTTTATACAAATATCTTTATCTTACCTTCATTGATTTGATCGATTAAAGAATCGATACTTTTTAAAAAAGCCAATTCAACTTCAGAAATGAGTTGACCAACGCTTTTTCTCCTTTTCGAAAGCTGATATCCCTTCCTTAAAAAAAATAAAAATAAAAATAAAAAAAATTAAAAAAAATTTTGATTAGATACATTCAACCGATTCAACAAATTAACTTACAATAAACCAGCTAAACTAACAAATCCAATGAAATTGTTTTCATTTTCAAATACATTTAATAAAGCTCTAACCCATTTAACTTTATCGCTTTTCCAAAGGTGATCATTACAAAGTTTTTCGTAACTTGAATATTGTATCATATAAAATATTGATAAACCTTTATTAAAAGTATATTCTTTATCAAATTTATCTTCGGAAGAAATAAACTCTTTTAAAATATCTTTAATGAATGAGAGAGGTGATGTTTTATTAAGAAGTATTTTAGAAATACTTGCGTGTGGTCCGCTATAAACTGTTGACTGGTGGTTTAGGGACATTATTAGGTTATGTAGAGGAAGCAGGAGGAAAAAAAATTTGCAGATCCAAAAAAAAGCATAAAAATGGAAATCTGAAGTGTAATCATGTGATTTGTAATACTTACTAGATCGAGGAACTTTTTAAATGCAAAACAATAGGTGGCGAGCAACAACCTTTGAACTGAAGTTGTTTTAATGTAATATTGCAAGAGAAGCAAAAATCAGCGGACATAATAAAGCATGAAACCAACATCAGTCCATGAATCGCTCTTTATAAATAAATAAAGCATCTAAAAGCAATATTTCTTTGAATAATTCTTTACTTAAAATAAATATAAACGTATGTATTTTGACTAGTTTCGTCAGGAAAGAAAAGAAAATGTCTCTTGAGTTTAATTCGTCATTACCTTTTATTTTTTCAATTAATAAAGCCCATTCTAAGTCACTCGTTTTTTATTCGCTAAGATTCAAATGTTCAAAATTTTGAATGGCATAAAATTTATATCTTAACTTATGGAGATAATATTTAATGAAGAATAAGAAGTTCCATAAAATATTATTTGATTGTCGTAAATGTTTCTGCGAATCCCTTTCTTTTTTTTCTTTTTGTGAAATTGACGTTTCTTTGATGTCCCGCACACCCAAAAGAATATTAAACGGTTCATTTTATTAAAAAGAATATTTTTTTGCGTTAATTTTTTATGAATTGAATCTTTATTTTTCATTAAAATAATAGAATTTAAATTAAACGATTAAACTTTTAACCAGAACCGATAAAAAAAATTTTTTTATTAAGCCGCAGTTATTATATATTAATATTTGTAAAAAGAATGAATTGGAGCCATTGAACTATTATGTTAAATAATGTCCGCTTTTTCAAGTGGCCAATTATCACTTTAGAAAAGCAATTCCTTGCAATTTGTTTAATTTAATTATTTACCTAGTTATTATATATCGAGTCATTTTAATTAATAATTGATCAAGAAGTAAGTCATTTTTGGTTTCTGATGAAGGCTAAAGTTACTGTAGAATTTAAAGATATTTAAATTTATCAGTTTTTAATACTCTACCATCTCTATTGAATGAAATTTCCTATCACTTGCAATGATGCTTTGTAACTAATATAGTAACAAAGCTTGGCCTTAGTTATAGATGAAAGCATGACGTGACGTTCTTAATACCTTTTACAATTAGCTTCGAATGGGAGTAATTCGAGTTTGGTATAATATTTCAAAGAAAGAATTTTATTGATAGTATATTATTAATATTGTTTTTTATAATTTTTTACGATAAATTGTGCAAGTGCAGGAAAAAATCAAACTTAAAGAAGAATAGAATCTCGGATGATTATTCAATCCACGATAAATTTATCACATCGTTGCTCGTTGAATAAATCAATATTAAGCAAGAAATAAAAGGGAAGGTGTCTAACCATTATGCTAGGAAAGCCTTGATTTTATTTACCTGGCGTGAATCCATTTCAAGATTAGTCATAAAGAACAAAAGAAGACAATGTTACAGTATGAATGCTCCCATAGACAAAGGAAAAAGTTATTTATATATATACAGTACATTAATTCAAATATTAAAAAAAGTTGCCGGTATAAAAGAAATCTCTTTATTAAATATGCTATACATTCAGGCTGTAGCATCGTCTTTACAATCTTCAATAACAGTATTAACATCCATCAGCTCCTCTAACGAAATTATTTTTATTTTATTATTTATTTATTTCATATTAAACTTGGATCAGGCTGATCAAGAATCCGATCAAGGGAGTATATGAATTTATGTTATGTTATCTGTTTAATAAAATAATTCAACAAATACACCAGTACATAAAACTTGGCTTTACCGATGGCATAGCATTGATATTTTATTATTCGATTAAACTTCCACAACGCGGCTAAGATTGGATATAAATTATTCTAATGAATATCTATAAGGATTCCTAAATTGTGGAGTTGTGGAAAATTCATTCATAATATCTACTTCGTCCAAAACACCACCACCAACTTTTTCAATAATGGCAAGATGATCATTGGTAATTCCATCATAGCCTACATATCTAATTCCACCAGATTTATAAATATAAAATAATAAATGCTTCTTTTTGTTCATGATATCCAAAAATGAACTTAAAATGATGTAAGTAAATTGAATACTGCTATCAACACATATTCTAGATAAATTATATTGAGGAGCGGTAGCCAATAAGGTGGTAAATAAATAAGTAGCATCAATTTTATCTTGAGAGGAATTTCTTAAAATCAAACTATCCAATTTTTCACAAGAAATTAAAATATCCTCAATGTCGTGAAATTGTTCATCATGACAAAATGTCATTAGGATTTCAAGTTCTGAACAAAATCTACTAATCATTTGATTTAATATGGTGCAATCCTCTGGATCTCCATCAGGAAATCCGTTATATAATAACAATTCTTTTAATGTATTCCCATTTATCTTAATAAAATTTGCCAATAATGTTAAAGGTGGAATATTTTCCCCAATCAATAATTTTGTAAGATTTGGGAAATGAATCGAACATAGTGATTCTAAAAGAGCAATCGGAAATATTTCTTCTAAATTTAACTCCAAGGAAGTTAGTTTCGTTAATTTCGAAATGGGTAATAATGGAATACAAAATAAGGAATTCTTAATATAAAGGTGTGATAAAGAATTTACTTGTGATGTGAATGCGTTGCCGATCTTTACACATTCGAAAGGCTTTTTCTCTTCTTCTAGATCATCCAGTTCCTCACATTCTAATCCGACTTGTCGTAGATTATTTTGCACTTCTATCAATTTAGCTAATCCTTCATTATCCTCTTTAACCCATTTAATTAATAATTTGTCAATGTTTCTACATAATTGAGCCATTCTGCAAAATATCGATGGGGAAATGCTCGTGTCACAAGAGAATTCTTTAAGTTGTGTGATACATACGTTAACTCCTGAAAAGTAAGGAAGAGGAATATGTGGATCATGAAAATGAAGGTAATAAAGGGACGGACTTTGTTTGATAAACATTTGATAGATTTCTTGTTTTAATAAAGTTCTTTCATAAATTTCACTTTCTTCTCCAAGATGCACGATGATTAATTGATTGATATATCCTGTATCAAGAAATTTACAATATCCCGGGTAATTATATTTTGGTGATCCCATCGTTGGCGATTCAATCATGATTTCATTTCGTTTTAAAAGTTCATGAGATTCTTTTGGTAAACATGAATATAACGTTGATAATATATTTTGATCGGATTCATCTTCTAGATCGATTCCATAAATTTCATTCGCCCTTGCTTGAATTATATAAATATCCCTCCATAATATTTCAACAGCAATTTCGCTCCAATCTTTATTGACCAATAAACACGAATGAAGTGATATCATATCTTCGTTTAAACATTCCAAAATTTTTTTCAAAAGGGTAGAACTAGTTAAAACATTTTTCATCGTTTTTTTCTTTCCTTTTTAAAAAAAAATTATGTTGGATTTTTAAAATTTTTTTTTTTTGTGGAAGTGATTTGATATTCAATTTAAGCCTGAGAAATTATAAATTTATTTTGTGAACTTAAAAAATTAATATGGAAAAGTCATGATGATCAATCACATGATGAAATTTTTGTTCTTCAAATTTAGTAAATGCCATTTTCTCCACAATTATAATTATTTTAACCAAAATGGAAAATGGGAATTTTGGAAATAAGATCAAGTTAATGGTGGATAAACACTATGACATTATTCGTGAAAAAGAATATGGAAGTTTTGGAAATTAGTTGGTCATAGTCTTCGAAAAGATTCTTTAGGTTCTTTTTCAGGTTCGTATACTTACAAAAAGGTTGCTAGAAAGAAACCTAATTCAGAAAAAGAAAACGAAAGCAAATGTGAAATGCAGTTTTTTTTCGTTTCAGTATAAAAAAGGTTTTCTATTATATTCGTTTTATGTAATGCATAAGCAAATAGTAATGAATTTTATACTTGATTTCAAATTCATAACTAGCAGTTGCGATATGCAGGAGACTTTGTCTCCCATTAAGCGTCGGATTAAATATCTTATGTTCATATAAATAAATTTAATCTTATAAACAATATTGTTCGTATTCACATAAATTTTTTTGTTGCATATGTAAAGTAAATTAATAAATTTTGAAATATGAGAGTTTTGAGTAAGAATTTTATTAGGTTAATTAATTTTATTAAAAATGTAATTATTAAACATTTATTATATTCACAAAGGTAAAGAAGTATTTGATTTTTGTTCTAATCGTTCATAAAAGCAGAAGGATGTAATGAAGTGATATGTATTTTGGCCAAACACAGCATCAACTTAATGCAACATAACAAAAAAAAAATACTTGATCAAGATACAAAGATACTTCAGGTTAAGTTAAGCCTTGTGTTTAATGTACTGTAAGAACAAAGAAAATCTGCAAGAGAAATTGACACATACTTAATGGTTTTCTATCTATCAGAAATGTAGATGTTTCTTTTTTAATTCCATGATCAACAAATACCACTATTACACTAAAAGCGATTCTTACTTGCATAGGATCTAAATTAACATCTAATATAATTCTAACGATACTATTACATATATTTTGATCTATTAAGTTATTTTTTAAATATATTACTCTAGCATTTTATTGCAAATGTAGATGAATTAGAAGATTAGTTTTTAAAATCATATTTTGGGATTCTAAATTGAATTATTCTTCATTAATAAAGTCAATAGCTGAACTAATTAAAAAATTTATCATCATTTATAGGTAGCAATTATAGATCTTATTATTTATGTTACTAATTGAAATAACTTTTGACCTAATAATTATGTTTCGATAGAAATATGATCATTAGAACCATCTTATTGAGAGCTTACCAATTAATATAAATTCAAAGTTATTGGACTAATAGGAGTAGAGATAATTCAAAAAGTATTGCTATTATAATTCTGCAAATCATTATTAAAAAATTATAATTTCTATAAACCGCAGCCTGATGATCAAAATGACCAAAACCTCAAAAAAGTTGTTAACTAAGTTTATATAGTTGTTTAAGTTTAATTAGTTTCTTATGTTTATTTGTTTAAATTAGTTATTATAATTAACTAAGTTAATAAAGTTTATAATAATTCTTTAGTTTTAATAGTTTTACTTATTCTATAATTAGTAATAGAAGTAAATCAAATATTTTATAAAAATAGGATAGGAAATTATTGTAGTAAATGACATGTTCAATTTAGTGAAGATTCAATTTAGTTTTAGATAGATAATATGTTAATTAGTGAGTTAGTAATAGAGAATTTATTGTGAAATTCATAAATTGATAAGTTTGCAAACAAGTGCTTATTTAGTTGATTGAATCATATTGATCCACTTATATTTTATTAATAAACCAAATTTTATTCCTATAATATTGATCTATTAAACTCATAACCTAAAATCCAATTCATCATTATTGCTCTCATATCATATTCGAAGTATTCATACATATTTCTAATTTATATTTATATATCCTTAACATTTCCTATAATTATAAATTAATATACTGTTAATTCAATAGTTTTATTAACATGAATAAGTTCTTAAGATTATTAAGTTAAATAATTATCCTTCAGATACCTATAATCTTACTATTCACATTAATGTCTATTTTTTAGTTAGTAGATTTCATTATCGACTCGTATAATAATATAATCAGTAATTCATTTATATCTAATGATATTTGTTATATTAAGGATAATATTGAGTAGATTTTAGTGATTAAAGGATCTATTTTTTTGATACAATATAGTCTATGAATCTAATAATATATTACCTAATCTAATTTCTTGTAAGATATTATAATATCATATATCTTAATTTTATCTTTAAGATTCTCTTAAAAATATAATATAAAATAACTTTCATTCTTATGATTTGTATACAAGTAATTTAATTAGAGGTAATTAAGCGAAATTACTAATTATTATTATATTTAATCCTTAAAATGCAATTATTTGCTATTTGGTAATTAAATATATATCTAAAATAAAACTAAAAAGTTTTTCTAACACCATTAAAATTTTATTAATAATTATAGTATCAATATTTTTTAAAATTATAAAATATTAACATAAAAAACCAAAATTTAAAATTATTTAATTTTTCATGATTTTTAATGCTAACTGCATTATTTTTTTTTAAAAGTTAGTTATAGTAACTTTTATTGAAATTAAAAGCAAATAATTAGGGTCTCGCCGCCTTATCATAGTTGGTAACAACTGAGACCTATTGTAGGTTATACTGTAATAGACCTTAGTTCAGCCCCTGGCTAAGGCAGATCGTAATAATTTAATTTATGGGATTTACCGGTTCAATTCCAGAAATGAATTTCTTAGGGTGTGTACAAATCATATATGTTAAAGATCACGAATTTGTAGAATATAGTGACCAATTGATAGTTGTTTACATGAAGGATGGTAGCTCTCATGGCATAAGCTGTGTAAGGTCGCTTCGTCTACACACCATCCTGATAATAGGTAATGGTGGTAAGTAACTTGATGCATAGTGAACCAATTGAGTTTGGAACCTATGTTATAGGGCTAGTCTATAATGAACAAGTGCCACATCATCTGCAAAGGGTACCCATGAGGGTAGGTCAATGGTAAATACTGTATAACTTGGATTGAACAAAAGTCGTAGGTTATAGGTAGTTAATATTGCACTGTCTTCAATCATCGTGATGTCTATATCACAACTAGTGTTTGGAGGCCTGGGTTCGATTCTTGGGGTGATTTTGACGTATAGCGGGACAACTATGATGTAGGTTATCATCTTAGGTTATTCTTGACCCTCTTTCCAGTAGTTGTGATGAATGTGAATGATGGCTGGGTACCATATTTCTCTACCCTGCGGGTTAATTAGGAGCTGATCTATTAAAAATGGGTTGCGAGAAATTTTTACAAAAAATGAGATTTTTGATTCATATTATAGTATATTATATGAACTTTATTTGGTTAAATTTTTAGA